ACTTAAAAAAAAAAATAATTTCGTTAATATTTTGCTCCACTTAAATTATTACAATCTTAAAAATACATTAGTAACTTAAACTATCAATTATACGGAATTAAATATTACAATTTAATTAATATTAATATGTAATACTTAACATTATTTATCGATCACCGTAATACATTTATAAAATAATAAATTATATTTTTTTATTAAAGATTGAACTCATTACCTTTAATTAAATATAAAAATTTTAATTATTAAATCATAGTATTATTGATAAAATGGGAAGCCCATGATCTTATTATCTTGGTTAGACCCATGATTGTTTGCTTTTAGGGTATCTTTAATTTCATTTTTATTTGACAAATGACAAAAGGATATCGTAATTAGACCGATTAATACATGTAGACAAGTATGTACATCTAGAAGAAAAAAAAAACAATTAAATATTGTATTAATAGGCTTTTTTAAAATTAAAAAAATACACATATTTATAGTCAACATCCTTTATATATATATATATATTTTAAATAATTGTTGTATGTACCAATCTTATTTTATTCTTCACGAAATTCAAACATTTGATTTCCAATATGTACCACACAATGGGAAAACATTATTGCCAAATTCAACTTACTATTAAAAAAATTAAATTAAATTAAATTTTTTCTTGGTTTCTACATATCTTGCCCTTTAATTTTATCAAAATTTGTCTCCATTATCTAACACATACAAACATGTTACAATTAAAATCAACATAATGTTTCAAGAAAATTACCTTTTGAATTAAAATTATTTGTGGGTATTTTAGAATCTTGAATCAATTATTATTATTATTATGTGGACTTAATTAAAAGTATTTTAATTAAATTTATCTAGATTTAATTTTTAATTATTGTTAATTAATTATAATTTATTAGAATATAAATTAGGTAAAATACCAAATTTCCCGCTGTTGGGGGTAATAATATAAATTTATTTATTTATTTTTTAAATTTTAAAATGGTAAAGACAAGTCTAACGTCATCGTCTCTCTTACTCCGTAAAGAAATTTCTCTCTCTACAGAAATTTCTCCTTTCCTCTTGTCAGTATATTACCTTTTCTTCATTTTAGAATTTGAATTTGCTTATTCTGCAAGTTTAGTCTCTTCCTCTGTACAGACCTGAATTAGATCTTCAAACATCATTTCTTTTTCACTTTCAATATAGAGTCTGGTTTAGTTTAGTTCAATTTCAAGTTTACTTTTGGTTTGCGATTAATCTAGCTTTTGCTGATATTAAAACCCTAGTCATGGCCAGTCGTTATGAAAAGAATCCTTTTGACGAAGAAGAAGATGTTAATCCCTTCGCTGTAAGCTTATTTTCTCCCTTTGTTTTCCTCTCTATCTTCTTTTTTTGTACGCTGTAGATGATGTCTATCTGGTTTCAGTTCATGTGGTAAATGAATTTGAATTGGAAGTTGAATTTTTATGGATTTTTCGAGACTGTTGGTTGTTTATGCAAAATTGTGAAGTTCGAGTGTTTAAGAGAGTTCTGTTGCTGATGGTCGGTTCGTTTGCTTGATTCTGTGATGACATCTGGTTGAATTTGCTTGAATCTTATGATTAGCGCTAAATTTGAATTACATTTATGGTCAAACGTGGTTTTGTTATCGTTCTTCTTCTTTTTAAAATTTGGATTAATTTATATTATATGCTTTTTTATTAGGATATTTTCATTTTGGAAGATCGATAGTTTGTGGGTGTGATAGGAGTGTAGATTTTACATTCGGTTGTAGTATTTCTCTAAGAAATAGACTCATAGGCAAGTTTACCTGAGATATTTTGACTTGGTTTTGTTGATTATCATTTTAATAGCGAGTCATGTTTATGAGCCCTATTACATGGGTACTTCAAAAGTGCTGCAATATACCCTTGTTCCAATCTAGGCTATGTGATGGGTGTCTTACCACGAGATACACGCTTGCTAGAGATGGACCAAATTGATGAACTTCTTGATGAGAAATTTAAGAGTTTGAACTCTCTCTCATTCTCTTTTCTCCCATAAATCCATAGCCAATGCCATATCGAACCTAGACCGTAGTGTTGGATGGTTCTGTTCTAAATGCCTGTCTGAACCTAATAGTGTAATATTTACTAGTTGGTGGAAGTATGAAATACACTAGGGATGCTGATATACATTTCTTTCTGACCTATTTTGTCTAACAGGACTCAGCAAAGAAGGGGAAAAAATCAGGACAATCAAAGTTTGGTGGAGGTGCATTTTATACAACAGTAAGATTGGCATCGTTTTCTCCTCTTCATACAACACCTAAGTTTTCAGTGAATCAGCATGGCATATGATATTACTAATGTTTAATTTGAAAAAATCATAGAATTTGAATAATGTAGTTGAAAAATCCAATACTTATTGAACTTATCCTTGGTGGTTTTGTGTTCTCTCAACATTTGAGAAGCTTTTTTTTAACAAGCCATTCTCACGGTCGAGGGGCCACTTGCATCGGTAATCTTTCTTTAAAAAACAAAAATTGGATTGAACTGTTACTATTGGGAGTCGGCTTTGTATTATTACCGCGCTTCTTTGCTATATTGTTCAAATGATTATTATAAAGCCTGGTGCCACGGTTAGATGACAATCTTGGTTGGTAACAGACCTACAACTGTGTTGAAGGTTCCTCTGTATTGATGGATCCTGTGTGGCACTTCCTTCTGCTTGGGGTTTAGGAATTTTTTGGGCTTATGGTTTTTATTTGTTTGTCCTTGATCTGTTTCTTAGCAATGTGGTTCCAGATGCATCCTCATTGAACAAATTATTTTCTTATGTTAGTCATTCTTTTGTTCTTACACTTGACATTATTGCCTACTTGCCAGAATCCGGGAAGTGTGCCTCCTGCATCAAACTCAAGGCTTTCACCTCTGCCGTCTGAGCCTGCAGGCTATGGCTATGATCATGGTACAACAATTGACATTCCTCTTGATACAGTCACGACAGGGACAACTTCTCAGGTTGGTGGAAGGACACAGTAGAGTCCATATTTTCCATTTTTATAACAAATAAGCAAATGACATTGTTCTTCTAATTTTTCCCCATCATGAATCTAGGATTTGAAAAAGAAAGAGAAGGAGCTCCAGGCAAAGGAGGCTGAACTGAGAAGGCGGGAGCAGGTATTGTTGGTCGGAGAATTAAAATGTTGAATTTATGCACTATGCTATATCATGGGCTAGTTACTGTATTTTCTTTTCAGTCTGCTCCTTATCAAGTTTATTTGACAAGTCTAAGATTTTATGTCTTTGAAAAAAAAATATGTCGGTATTCAATCGTTAACTTATCTAGTTATAATGAGATTTTTCCAACCAATTATAAATTCAGTTGTGCTTAAGAGTGATGAGAAGCGGATCAAGGGATTTTGGAGGAAGGAATTTTTGTAATTATGTTCTATTTGGAGATATTCAACGGACATATTGTGTTATGTGCCATACTAGAAATCATGGAAGCATGGCTATTCGAATGGGTGACGCATGGTTTGATGCTACACATGGCTGCCAGAGTGGGTGATACATGGCTGTTAGAGTGGGATAAGTGTGAAGGTAATTTGTAGGATATGTGGGATAAGTGTTGATAGTTTATAAGATGTGGACACAGTTACTTAGGTGACTTTTAGGATATGGGATAGTTACTTCCGACTAGGAAAGTTATTATTCTTAGAAATTATTTTTTCTTGCGTAAAAAACATTATAATCTAAACTGGATATGTAGAAAAATATTTCAAAAAAGTTTCTTGAGTACTTAAAACTCTAGAAGATTGTTGGGTTCTCTCTTAGTGAGCCCATATTATTAATAAAATCCTGTAACTAAATCTGGCAGGTCAGACCATAACAATTTATATCAGAGCCAGATGTTATAGTTGATTTAGATTTGATGTTTGAACTCTTTCTCAACTTACCAAGAATATTGAGACCAAGATTGCATGAAGTTTGTTCTGTTGGCAGATTGTTTGAATGGAGTTTCAAGAAAACTTTTGGCCAGTAGAAGTACACCAAACAAACTGGGAGAAGACAACATCCATCATGGTCTGGAAGAGCGTCATGGTGATAGTCCTCACACAGAAAAAAGGAGTATTTTCATTTATAAGTATATAAAACTTGGTGTTCCCCATAAGAAATATAATAGGGCTGCTAGTAGGGTGGTGCAACGTTCCTGGATCGGATCGCACTGAACTAGAATGGAATATTTTTGGTCCAGTCCGGTCTGGACCAAAAAAGGGGGAAATTAAAATGTTTGTTAATAAGAAGGAGATTATTAAGAAAAAAAAAGAGTATTTTAGCAAAACAAAATACAAACCCCATAACTTTTGTCCTTTTAACTTTTTGTGAATTCTTCACCGAACCCCACATATCATTAGCTCCCCCTCTCCCTCTCTCATATTTGATATATATATATATAAACATATAACTAGTTCTACTCCTCACTCTCTCATATTTATCTGTGTGTATATATATAATATCTATCTGACAGAACCAAAACAATGTATATTTAAAATATAATATGTATATGTATATGTAATATGTGTGTATATGTGTGCGCGCCGTCGCGTGTGTGAGAGAGAGAGAGAGAGAGAGAGAGAGAGATCTGAAAGTGGGATATAAAGAGACTATAGATAAGAGACCGGAGAGATGATGATTTGTGGGGGCTTGAACTCACCCACCTCCGCAATTTGCCGTTCATCGTGAAAAAGGAAAAAAGTTTGGATTGGATGCTTGAAGAAAGTTGAAAAAGGGAGAGAGGAAGAGGGGGACCTGCTGATATCATTTATGTAAATTACATAAGTTTTAAAAAAATTTTATGTACTGGTCCAGAAAATTTTCTAGGACTGAGGAGTGGACTGGATCTAGTTGGGTCGAGTCCAGTCCGGATCAAACAACCGGTTTCAGTCTGGACTGAACTATGCACTCCCCTAGCTGCTAGGAAGTTTCAAGACCAGGAGATGACCAGCCAAATCAACAATCGTGCTTTAAGAAACATGATCAGGTGATGGTGGTGTGAATCTAGTGCAGACTTTACCAAAAATGTCCACTATAGAAAGAGACGAAGAAGAAGGGAGAGAAGACGGACAAGGAGGAAAATCAAGGGAGCAAAACAACACACAACTTACATCCCTTCATAGGTATTATGCGTCTCTGTGAGAGCTGAGAAGATCTACGTTGGCAAGAGCCTTACAACTTGCACAAGATAGTAAATTTTAATTCTTTTCAACCCAATAAGTCAACTCACCTTCTGTCATTTCCTTATGGGAAGCAGTTACCATGGGCATAAGAAAGGATCACAAAGTGAAGAATTGATTATTGGCGAATCAACATGGTTTTCTTTCAGCAATTTATTGGCTGCCAATTTTCTAGGATGAGGCAACTTGGTGAACCGCTTTCCAGAAGATAAATTTTTGGTTTCCATCAAGTTGGGAAGTAGCCATGGCTTCCTGACCTTGACTTTTACAAAAATACTTGATTTATGCAACCAATTCCAATTTTCTTTCACAATACGAGCAAGTGACACATGGCTTGATGCGCAGATGGCTGCTAGAGTGGGTGAGACGTGGCTGTTAGAAAGGGATAACTATGAATGTAGTTTTTTGGATATGTGGGATAACGTTGGTAGTTTATAGGATGTAGAGGTAGTTACTTAACGAGCCCATAATTTAACAAAATCCCATATCTAGATCTGGCAGGTCGGATCATAACACATTGCTTATATTTAGTCAGCTATTTCAAAAAAAATATTAGTTATTTCATCAAATACTATTTTTGTGTGATCTTCACTGTCTAGTTGTACTTGTTTGTCTATCAAAATGAGTGGTTCTTTTTGTTTTTCTTTTTCTTTCTTTTGCCTTCGTGTTGTCATTGGTTGGTTTGTCTTCTATTGCTGACAGTATGACCTCAATAATGAATGAATTATTTCATGGCCTTTCCAAGAGCCTGAAATTTTGTGAAAATATCGATATCTCGAAACAATCAATACAGTGTTTGCTGTAGTTTTAATTCTAGATGTTTACTCTCAATTATATGCATGTTCTGAAGATGCATGCTTCATTGTTATGTATGAAAGTTGCAGTTTTCTGCTTATTGGTTATCTATGAAAATAATACTTTTCTGTAATTTCTCTAATGAGTTCCTTTGCATGATGAATTTTGCATTTCTACAATTATCGCTAATTAGCTTCTTCTATGAATTTTAGGAGGTGAAACGGAAAGAAGATGCTGCAGCACGAGGTAATTTGCATTGGCTGTTCATGTTTTAGTTGTTTAGTTATACAGCTAATGTACATATGGAGCTCTTCAGAAAATTGAAGAAGTATATTTTTCTGCTTCCTCTTGTGAGATCAGATTGCAGATTACTGATTTAATAGCTTTCAAATGAGTTATACTCTCTTGCTCTCTCTGTCTCTCAAGAAAAAATGTTGAAATTGTCCTCAAATTCTTCTATATCTCTGATATTGCCTGTAACTCTGATTGTCATCAAGCGCCCTCTTTTATTTGGTGACAGTTGTGAAAACATTTTGACTCCTGATATCTCCAATCTTGCCCACAGTTTAAGTGCAATTACAGTTTTCTTGTTCTTTTTCTTTTGCAGCTGGGATTGTCCTTGAAGAGAAAAACTGGCCACCATTTTTCCCTATTATCCATCATGATATTGCAAATGAAATTCCAATTCATCTACAAAGAATACAATATATTGCATTTGCAACATTTTTGGGTATGTTAAAACTAGTTGCAGAAGGGTTTTAGGCATACTATATATCTTCTTGGTTTTGTGAAGCCATTTGTGTTTATTGTCCTTTTAAAATCATGCCTTCATAATGTGTTTTAGTTTTGTGCTTTCTATCACTTGCCTTCATAGCTATCCACATTGGAGAGTGTCTTTTGCTTATTCTCAACTAAAGAAGGTAGAGTTGGGATTAAAGGCATGGGTATTGATGGGCAATACCTGGCATGGGTCAGTTATATTCTGCACTGCATTTCTATTTAGGTATTTAGTACTGTCTGTTGTTTATTTTTAACTAAAGAAGGTAGTTTTTGATGGGCAATATATGTAGATATTTAAGATATGCCTGTGTAATACCTAGTTCGTTTTAAAGCTGAAACAAATATTCATCCGGATAAAGAGATTTGATATGCCTGATAGAAATGGTTTTTAATGTAACTCTAACTTTTGCTCATACTCATTTAGCATAATATGGACCTGGCTTGTTCATCTTTGATTCTGTTTACATATTCACTTCCATGATTGAGGTCATGTGAGCTTGATGCAAGTTGATTTATGTAGGTTTATTTGCATGTCTCCTGTGGAATATAGTAGCTGTTACCACTGCATGGATCAAAGGGAAAGGTTTGTCCAAAAATCACTTTCAGAGTGTAAAGATTTTTCAATTATGGAGATTATGTTTTTTTAGAGATGGAGATAAAAAATTTTGTTTTTATCTTAGGTGTGAGAATCTGGTTCCTTGCTATTATCTATTTCATATCGGGGGTTCCTGGAGCCTATGTGTTGTGGTATCGACCGCTTTATCGTGCTTTTAGGTAATTATTTCCTGTGCTTGAACCTTCCTATTCTCATATCTTTTGTTATTTAACAGAACCCTTTTTATTTCCAAAAAAAAATTTTACAGTGTTGGAAGTCATCTTTTTTCTTCTGTTCTTGTGTTAAGACAAAAATTGTTCTCTGCAACTTGGAACCTATATATTATATTTAAGAAAGATATTCTACAGGCTCAATGGATGTGCAAGCATTAGCTTGCCACTAGATTATTTATGATTAACAAGTTCCATCAGATGGCTATAAGTTAATATCTAATTTATTCACCTTCTTATGGCAATACTGTGTATCATGTTCTCCTATTAAGTTTTCTTAATGAACTTTTTCTCTTCGAACTAGCATAAAATCTTAGTGGAACTTCTTATGAAAATACCACATATCATGTTTTTGGATTAAGGTTCTGATAATTTCTTATGGAAATACCGCGTTTCATTTGATTTCTGTGATTTCTTGATACATTTTAAGGTCCTTTGCTTGCCTTGCAGGACCGAAAGTGCTGTCAAATTTGGATGGTTTTTCCTCTTTTACGTGGTATGTATTCTGCAATTGCTAATTATAATTTCCCATCTATTTTGAGAATAAGAAGATGCCTAATGTTTTAATGAATCTTTTTTCGCAGCTCCACATTCTCTTCTGCATCTTTGCTGCAGTTGCTCCTCCTGTAATTTTCAGAGGAAAATCTCTCACGTACGTTTGTTCAACCTTCAAATATATATATGTGTGTGTATATATATATATATATATTTTTTATGGCTAGTTGTATTGAGGTTAAGATAACTTTTCCTGTTGCTACAGTGGCATTTTGCCTGCAATTGATCTCATTAGCGGTCATGCTCTGGTTGGGGTAAGTATTCTTGAAACAAATTCTTTATTTTCCAGTCAACATTTGATTTTATCTGAAGATTCTAAGGTAACCTTCTTCTGTTAGATCCACTAAAAATAGGATTGAAGGATTATGATTTATAAATCTAAATTTAACATTGGATTATTTCATGTTTTTATTACTTTGCTTCACTTACATTAAATTGCCTCATCTTGTCTTGTCCAGATCTTCTACTTTATTGGATTTGCACTATTTTGTCTGGAATCACTGATCAGCATCTGGGTTATTCAGGTTTGATTTATGCCTCCAAATGTCGTTTTCATTTCATCATTTTTCTTTTGTCGATATATTTTACACGGTCACAACTGTTTGGGTGCAGCAAGTATACATATATTTCCGTGGAAGTGGGAAAGCTGCTGAGATGAAGCGTGAGGCTGCAAGGAGTGCTGTGAGAGCAGCTTTTTAAATGCCGGACTAGTAAAGGAAAGTAAGATAGCAACGTGTCTGGTTGTAAGCTTTGTATATGCCTCTTAGCCACCAAAAGTACTTAGAGATATTTTTATTGCCGGAGCCTGGCTTTTCTTTTTTGCTTTATATATATATATAATGATGTATGCTTTAAATCCTAAGACCTTTTCTTTTTTTGTAAATGTTACACCGTCGGAGACCAAGATGGAGTTTGATAAGGAGTTTGGTATTTGCTATGTTCGTCATATTTTGATATGAACAATCCATTATTTGCCTGGATTATTGATTCCTATCTATATAATTTGTTGTTTGTATAGCACAGTGGATTAGTGGAGCATTTGCGGAAGATGTTCCATGAGGTAACAAGCATAATGAGGCCTGGGGGATGCATTTGATGTTAGAGGTGTGCAAATAAACGAATTTAATATATGATAATGTGTGTATATATATGAGTGTGTGTGTGTGTATACTGATATATTAGAAAAATGTATATTTATATGTTGAAACCATTTAATATATTGAAATGCATGAACTTCTCACAAGACATCCACTAGGTGTTACCCAAACAATCAAAACCAAGTGGCGCTCTTCACTCTCAATTATTCAACAGTCAAAATCAAGTGGCTTCTTAGTTAGTTCCCCAATTGGCTCACCCAAATCAAAAGTGCCAATCCGAGGTGAAACAGAAGTACACCATTCAAGCTTCATCCAATTAAATTGTGTTGGTCCAATTTTTCTCACATTCAAGCTTTAACTCTCTTAGGTCGGTCCACCCATTATCCCACTTTGAATCTAAATCCCATCTTACCCAATTTTCATTTCAAGCAAAATTTTGAAGTGTGTCAAATTACCTTTTACCCTTTTGAACCAATCCAATTTTGAACCTTTAGTTGCATAGTTATTACTTTTCTCTCTTAATAACAAAAAGTTAGTTTCAACCCACAAGACCCTTGTAATGAACATGAATAATGCATATATATATATATATATATATACATACATGTTTATATAGAGGTAAATGAATTAATGCACAGTTGTTTCGTCATGAATGATGACTAGTGGGCAAATTTGACATTTGACAACACTCTTGTTAAACCTCACATAAAAATCCCATCTTTGTTCCCTATTTTCCACACAGGATTCATCCCCACAAACCTTACACGGCAAAAATTCTCCACTAATAAACATGGAAATTTTCTTTTGAAGCTCGGCAAAGATGAACAGAGATGGAATCAAACAGGCCCAAGTAAAAAATAAAAGAGCTTTATAAGTAGAAGACACTCATAATATTCATATTTATTATTTTGCCAATATATATATATATATATTATATGTAAGTTCACAAAAACTATTTAAGTTCAGGCAAAAAAATTCCTCAACTTAGGAGAAATCCCTTCATACCCACCATACCATACCATACCATACAATACGATACATAATCATACATAAAAATATGTATGATTGAACTTTGAAAACACCCATCAAGTAACTATTTATATATGTATCACATATAACTACTATTGTAGTTAATAGAAAGTGTTACCGGCTACCGGCTAATACCCGTCCCACCAAACTTTCACCTCCTTAACAGTAAGCAACACACTTCTTCTTGCAATCCATGGTGCACCCTCCGCCACCACCTCCGCCGCCGTATCCTTTCCCCGACCGGCTATAGGATGTAAAGCACTTCGCCGGACACGTCAGCTTCTTATTGTAACAAGGTCCCTTCTCTTTACACACAACACTAGGCCTTATCACACCATTTCTGGAATACCCTCCGGTCGGACCTCCATACCCGGATCCATACCCGCCACCTATAATCCCGTTCCCCCACCCTTGTCCAAACCCGGGTATCCCAAACCCGTTACCCGGGCCGTACATCCCGCCGAACCCACCATCGTTGCCGCCGCCTCCTGGCTGTTTTGCTTTGTTGGGGGAGTGATTGAGGTCGGCGGAAAATGGTCCAAAAGAATCGGGTCGGGTCGCGAGAGTAGAGGAGATTACAATGATGAGGAAAATGGATGAGAGAGAGATGATCTTCATGTTCATTTTGGTTTTCACTTTTCTGGGAATTTTTAATTTCTGGGTTGATGAGGATCAGAGGAAAGAGATGAAGGGTGGAGGAATATTTAAATGGTGAGTGGGAAAGCATTGATGAGAGGAAAGTTGGAGGACGGTTGAGGAGAGGGGTCCTCCATAGATACAGATTAGGTCGGGTGCCATTATGATACCTTGTAAATGCTCTCCTCCTGACACATTGCATGTTATAATATAACAATATAATTATAATTTGATTATATAAACTCCCGTCCCATGTATTTGGGTCTTAAAGTCAAGTGTATTTTCCAACTTCTCTCTCTCTCTCTCTGTGTATATATATGTATACACACACACACACACACACACAGTAGTTGGTGCTTTTAGCTTGCCACCGGCATTTTAGATAAGTTTAAGATTTATATTTACCCTTAATTTTACTTTTAAAATATGTAGAGTAATTAATATAGTTTTAATTTAATTTCAGGAAAATTTATGCAAAGTTTGAAAAAAAATTGATATATATATATATATATACTTTATAAAAATAATAAGTGATTAGAAATATAATTGAAAAATGAGAATTATAAAAATAAAATGTATTTATAAGTCACAAATTTTAAGAAATTAAAATTTTTATTATTAAGCATGAGTTAACTAATTCATTTAAATTAATCATACAAACAAATACATATTTGGATAAAATGCATATTGTTTTCCGGTTGTTATCCACAAGAACTACTCGGATAAGATATAAATATTTAATACTCGTGATGTCTATTTTTAGAAAAAAAAAAATTTATGTCAATAAATATGTTTGTTATAATTCTTTATTTGTGTAGATCCAACTCAAATCTAAGGTTAATATTTAAAAAAAAAAAAACTATATGGGATGTTTACATATAATCTTTATTAATGTATTCTTGACATAAATTAATCTATAAGATCAATTAAGTATTGAACTTCTAATCTATTTTTGAATTATATTATTTTATAAAATATATATGTGTATATAATTTTTTCATTAAAATTAATATTAATTAACATTAAATAAATGTTCTAACTTATATATTATTTAGAAAGATATATATATATATATATTTTATATGAAATAGAAATTGGAATTTAAAGGCCTTATATTTAAAATATGAAGATGATAAGTTGTACTAAAAAAAGTACACCAACCATCTTTGATTTGTAGTGATTGGTTTAGTACTGAAATTAGAGCAAAAATATTTAGGGTTTCATAAAATCATCCAATAAATGTTTCCAAATCCCAACCTTTCTCTTTCATTCTTCATTGAACATGATACCAATTAATTACCTCCTCATGTATAGATATCAACTAATAATTATATATATATATATATTTTTTTAATAAAATTATAATTTTTTTTATTACACAAAATATACTTTAAATATTATTTTTGGGGTGGGGATAAAACTTGTATATGCCTTCCAACAAGTCATCTCTCTTTATTTATGCAAAAAAAATCATATTTTTTTTCTTTCCATAATATTTATATTTATTTTTGGCCAAGGAAAATCAATAAAAACTTGAAATAATATAGTTGAAATTGGTCAACTTTGTCGGTTATCTATTAATTAATTAAAACTCTAACCTATATTCACGAGTGGTGTGTTTGATTTTGTTGACAGGCATATGTCAATACCAAGTAATTAAGCTTAACACAATATATATATATATATATATATATATATATCCGAACATTATGAACTGACTATGACTATTGATTTATAATATTTAATTTATTAATGTATTAGTTAGATTATATTTATTGATTTTTTTTTTTAAATTTAACGTGAGTTTTATTTTGCATAACAGACTATCGATTTATGAGTCCGTTTAAAAGTGATCAAATACGGTTATGAGTTTTAATGCATCGAGTTTAGTTATGAACTTAATATGTGCAGATACTTATAATTTTTTATATTATGATGAGTAAAATAAAAAATATAAAAGTACGATGATATAAATAGACAGTTATAGATCTCGAATCATATGTTTGTCATTTTATTTTTCTGAAATTCTGTTACCAGATAAAAACAGCTTTTGGTCGTGTTTCGACAGCAGGACGCAACGAATTTTTCGCGATGAATCTAAGTACGCTTCTGTTTATTATTTTTTATTAGTTCGGTATAAAATTACATATTTAGATTTATCAGATCTAGTTTGATTTGAAAAAGTTTTATAACAACATTAATAAGTTTAACGGATAAAAAACATATTGTAGGAGAATTACAAGTATAATGGATGAAAAAATTGGTTGAGGTTCAACAGGAAATTTAATTAAAAATTTGGTTGACAAATTTGTTTGGTTTCTTTTAAGTAACTTTGTTGACAAATTGAGACACATGAATCTCTCTCTTTAATTAATATCTCAAACAAAGTTTTCAACAAGGTGTGGGCAAATTAATTTAATTATTAATGTAATCCCAAATTAATCATGTCTCCAATTTTGACATTTAAGACTCCTCACTCAAATTTTAAGATGATTTGATATGTTTTCTTAATATTTTCAAATATATTATTAGGATTAATGATAAAATGTTTACAAATATAGATTTTAATACAAATTATTGCTATAAACTACATACACACACACATATATATAGTAGAAAGAATAAATGAAAACATCTCATAATTATAAAAAAAATATATATATATTTAGTCCACTACCTAATCTAATGCACTTGAAATTTTCTACCAAGAATTTAATACACTTTATATAATAAGTCAAGTCGAGTGGAATCAAACCAAAAAACAAAAAGGAAAAACCGCGTAAAGATTACTATTAGCCTTAATAATTCCGCGTAGTAATATTAACTTCGCATATAAATTACCATTAACCTTAATAATTCTATACAATAATATTAAGTTTCTGAACGTGAAATATACATCACTAATAATATAATCAACCTTCTAACGTTGATTATACAAAAGAATATAATTCGATTTAAATTTATGAAGTTATAAAAACAAAAAGCAAAAGTACTAAACTTTCATAAATTAAATTTAACATGGTAATAATATTTATCTCAATTTACCCATAAAATTCACTTTTTACCAACTGTTAAATTGATATTTCTTGTGATTGGCTTGGATAAAAGAAAAAAAAAAAAAAAACCCTGTTAGAAAATTGAAAATTGACCCCATAAAATTCACTAATGGCAAGATCTGCACCACCTTTATTGGGTCCAGTCTCTTGTATGTCCATTCCAATTAGTCTGATTTTTTTTTTAGTTTGACTAAAAATGAATATTGGGCCACAAAATTTAATATGAAGCACATGCTTTGTAGGCTCCAAATTCACCAAAGTCTCCTACTTGCACTTACAAAAGTTCTCTGCCTGCTTTCTCAAGTGTAGGAATTGGTTTCTTCTTCACTTGAAAATATGAGATTATGCTCTTGGATTTTTATTTTTAGGGGAGATGGGTAAAGTTCAAACTCAGAAATCATATAAAGTTTATTTTGTAAATTTGATATTACATTCTTGGAAAATTTCTAAAATCGTAGAACTTTTTATATTCTGTTCTTAAATTAAACATTGTGGATTAACCACTATCAATTTGCAGTACACCCACAAATTAACGATTTTAATATCCTTAGCGAAATTCGAAATCATAATCTTCAAATGAGTTATAAAGATCTTAACTATTACCGTCTTATTTTTAAGCTTAAATTTCTTTCATTTATGTAAAGTCCATTAAGCTTACAAAGTAGAAGACTTGGTAATTTTCAAAAGCAAATTCCAAAAATCAGATTTTCCATATAGCTTTCATAACCATTAAGAAAAGGCAAAACCTTTCCTTTATGACAAGAACAACATTGCTATATACAAATCTTCAACCTTGATTAACATTTAAAACCAGGTTGATTTCTATGATGATCAGCAAACACGATCTATAAAACAACAAAATATATATATATGTATATACACATGCATAAAGGAAAATCTATAATCTTCTTACGCTGCCTAGAAAATGCAATACAACACATTCTTACTGATATTCTGCAGCAGAAAGTCATTATAGACTGGATGAGCTCCAGCTAGCATCAACAGCCGCTATAATCTTCTCATGTAATTCAGATCCAGCACAAGCAACTATACCTCGGTCAAGACCTTCCAAGAACAACCCCTTCGAGAAGTTAAGTGGGCGGCCTCCAGCATCAGTTACTACACCTCCAGCTTCTTGTACAATCACAACACCGGCTGCATGATCCCATATCTTTTCCTTGTAGCCAGTTCGTGCAAACTTCATGAATATTTCGGCGTCACCTCGAGCTATTGCTGCGTACTTCACCATGCTGTAGACACGTAATGGTTGCTTCCTGGAATGGAAATGCATAAAAACACTGAATTGTATATGATGGAACGTAAATGTAGGGAAACGAAGAAAAAAAAGCGAAGAATATGCACCTGATCCCGAGGCTGTGAGCTAGTCCAGCTGTGAAGGAATGGCTTGAATTGGACTTCTCAACCGGTTCACAAAATGTAGCCAATTCAGGATTATCAACGGAGGACACTTGAATTGGCCTCGAAGAGCTTGGCCATACTAGCTTTCTGTTTCCTAGGATTAAAGGCTGCATCCAAGCCTTTCCAGTACCTCTTTTAGCACATATGACACAACCTTTGTCCCAGGATTCAGATGATGGCGGGGTCAACTTCGATATGATTCTGTGATACCGGTGATGATAACTCAACCATTCCTTTCTCATTGGATAATTAGGACACCCGAGAACTCCAAGCACAACTTCTCCATCGTCAATCAATGCTAAAGCAACAGCATATTGATCACCTCGTACAAAACCTAATGTGCCATCAACGGGATCCAGTGCCCAAAATCTCCCTCTAGGACCTCCTGTTGAGTTGCATCGACTAATGGCTTCGAGAATCTCAGAAGATCCAAGGGGAATTTCCGGACCTTGAAGCCCAAAACGAGGTGCTTCAGCAAGACAATCATTCACAGTAGACACAACAGTTTCTAATAGGCCAGCTGCATTAGGCTTGGAGAGATTTTGAATGTCTTCTTCGGCAACAATTGACACATTTCGACTCCCAAAGAACTCAGCCAGAATCCAACTAACTATTGCTTGAACACTCCAATCTGTTCACGTCGTGTACTGATATAAGTAAAATAATCTCTGTAGCTCTAATAACCCAAAATACTAATCTTTACTGCCATAAGAACAGTACTTCAATCCATTAAGTAAGGCACTCAACTAGCAGATTTTTCAAATTAAACCAGTATTCATCAATTCATTGTGTAATAGCAGTTATTTTATCTGAATGTTAACTCTTGCTACCCACTTATCTGTAACCCACCAGAATACAGAAATTATATGCTTACACACAAAGAGAATTATCAGCTATATAACTATAATTTATATCAAAAATCAAAATGGTAAATGAGAAATTTAAAAGAGAACTACGAAAAAATAGTTAGTCCTCAAATATTCAGAAAACAAGACTAGCAGGAGTATCAAGTAGTATCCCGTCCACATTTTCAACACAGCTTGCTCTACTTCACTCCAAACCCAACTTCACATAAAGGAAAGAACAATTTCTCAGAAACTAATAACTCCCATTAACATAATTTAATTAAAATCAAGACCGTCAAAACGAAAAAGGAGAAAGTGATATGCAAATATACAATACCTGCAACAGTAACAGGAGAATTATCATCCTTGGATTGAACTGGACTATTTCCTTTTGAAACCAAACTGTCCTGCACTTTTTGGCATAGAAAACACGCCATATGTACAGCCCTGACAGCAATATCGAGTTCCTCACAGTTCGGACCAAGATTTTCATGGTCCTCCATTAATGGAGGAGGAGGGGGAGAGTAAGAATGGAATTGGGTTTGCTTGGACTCCGACATGGAAAGAACAGAAACTAAGTTGTTTTTCGGTTGATGGCTTTTTCTATGGTAGAAGAAGAAATTTCCTACATGGGTTTTGTTGTATATTCTTCTCTGTCCCTGAAAGTCTGGGACTTTGGGATTGAGGATGGAGCAATTTAAAGACATTGGTGATTGATTTGGATTATCTGGGTTTTGTGGACAGTAAAGGAGAAGCAAGTAATTATAAGGAACTATGAAAAGAACATGACAAAAATAGTCTCTTTCAAGAGACTTCAAATACCCTATTCTCCAAAATCAAAAGAGAGAGAGAGAGAGAGTACGAAATTAGATGAATCAATATCACAACATGTGCATATGGCTAACCTAGAAACATTCTTTTGGCCCAAAGGATGAGATTCTGATGAGTTGGTCCTTGAGAAGTCAATTTGTAACCAATGATTTTTCTTAAAACTTGCATATTTTCATAATTCATATCACATTTACACCAATATAAACAGTTTAATATGAACCTATACAATCTTAAAATAAGATATATATACTAGCAACCCAGTAAAAAATAATTAACTTTTTGTAACAGATGACTTAAATCCTCTGAATTCTACTTGTTTATAGTATTTACATCATTTCTTTCTACCTAACAATTTTCTGATTTGGGTTCTTCCAAATTTGTGAAGGTCTGAGTCCAAATTCTATAAATTAAAAGAAAAAAAAAATTAAAGAAAGCATAAACTTTACTTCCCTGTCCATTAAGCTATTTAACCAATAATTACTCAAAAAATTTATCCTTATCATCATCAAACTTTCAAATCCAAGAGTTCCCCTCAATTTGGCAGAATCATATTCCCAAACATGCAACTAAGAAAATTTGATTGCAGATAAGATTAGAGAATGGGAAAATTGAAGCACTCCCTTATCCCTTTCCTGAATAATCTATTCTATTCTTAATCTTTTATTATTATTATAATTGAAATTATTTGGGAAATTGGATCATAATGAGCTCATTAACACTTCATCTCTGAACAGAGAGCTCTCTCCCTTCATAATCCATTGATGTAAGATCAAGTGGGTCATGACCAGATGAGAAATTTGAAACTTTGATAAGCCAATAGGACTTAGAAAATTTCTTGTCCAGTACAATCCCAATTTTTCTTCACCTTTATCGATCAACTTTGTAGAAGATTACAAATGCTTTAAGTTATTAAATTATTGATGATAGGCTAAAAAAAATCATTTATAGTTCCTCCATCTATAGATCATTTTTCTTTCCATTAAATTCAAATTAATATAGTAGACATATTAAATCTTACAAGAGAAGTAATGCTAATGAATTGTGAATTTCACCTTATAACTCATAATTCATTTAAACTCATTTGTCAAATTAATAAACGACTAGAAAAAGCTTGATTGTGAAATATACTTAATACCATCATGTAAGGGATAAATTTGAAATATCATGTAAGAATGAATGATCAAACAAATTTTTTTTTTTTTTTTTGCTTTTCAATTAAAGTGTTGAATGTGATGTGAAACCAATAAAAAAATTTAATTATTGTCAACTGATGTTTATTTTGATTTACTTGTTGGGATTTTTATATATAAATTTATTGTGTAAAGGTTTAAAATTTAATGGAAATGAAAATGAAATAATAGCGGAAACAATTAAAAGTATAAGGTTTACATTTCTTGCACAGTAAAATTGAATGCCTAATAGGTTTATAGAAATATTCCTTTTAGAAAATTAAAATAACAGAAAATAGACATGTAATTAAAATCCTATAGGGTCAACTTTTGTCAGACAATTCTGATGGGATGCGGGAGACAATATTTAGTCACTAATTTTTTTATTGTTCAGAATCCAGATCTTAATTTTTCTGATATGAAATTGGTAAATAAGGGGAATGACTACACCAACCTAGTAAAAATATCAATACTTAACACCGATATAGAAAATCAATGATTGATAAAAATTATAAAACAATTAATTGAACCATTTTTCTTTTTAACTAAGTTCATTTAATTAGAAAAAAAAACATAAATTTTTATACTCACATTTTAAGTTCTCAAATTCGACTTATGAAGATAATAATCAATATAATAATTCATCATATATTTCAAGAAATAATAATCGTCAACTTTACTTTTTTATCTAAATACTAGTATCTCTGGAGGTCTATAGGAGTTCCCCTATACGTGGACCCAATATCCAATTTATTGATTAACTAGTCATTCCCATACCTCGTCCGATAATAGCTGCCAAACATACCACCATCTCAATACCTCATTTGGTATTAGGGTGAATAAATACTTCACAACCTTTTCGGTATGGGACTTCCCAGCCCCCATTCGACTGAGCTAATATTGACGGTAGAGTTTACGTTGTGTACTGGGTCCGTACACTATTTTTCATGATACCTGGTAAGCCTTTTAGCATACATATTCATACCATCCACAAGCTACCAATCACACATAATCAACCCATTCCATATTTACAGAACAATAGAGCGATAGACAGTATAAATTAATAGATTAACAACTAAGGGAGACATAATCAATGCATTTATTGCAAACCAATCAATAGATAGAGACAAAATATGTAGATAAACTAATAAACAGAAAAATAATTAAAATCAATAAATCAAAGCACACGATATAACAATAAGCAATTTAGGCAGTATAGAAATAAATAGGCAACATAGATAAGATAGGACAATTATACATTAACCAGTTACCGGCTCTACTGGTGACTTGTATTTAATTAATTAAGAATTTTTAATATCTAAAAATACATTGTTATCATTTATTAAACTTTAATTAATCATAACGGGAGAAAAGAGTGAGAGATTCTTATCCCATATCGGTATCCAAACATTGCATTTTTCACTGCACTTCTTGGCGGTTCTTAGGTTTCTTGGATTTTTTAAGCTAAAATAAAAAACATGTGTCACATATTCAAAATACCCTAAAAAAGCCAAAAATAAGAATTTTTAAATTTTTCGGCCGGTTGAAGATTCTGACACGGTAGAGTCGGCTCCGTCGCCCATGATGATATCTTCTCTTGGCCTAGCCGTTTTCGGTCGGTTTCAATCGATTTAGTACAAAAACTTGCAAAAAATGAGGTTAGACGGCCTCTATTGGACGAAAGAAGGAGAAAACTGAAACTCACCAGCGGAGGAGTTTTTCGGTGCGGCAGCTTCGTCGTTCCTCTCTTACAGCCGAGGATTTCCTTTGGTCGACCTGCACCAGAAACGTGTTAGGAATTCAATGATCAAAAGATTAAAGGGAATGGGAAGTGGGATCAGCCTCACCAGAGCGATTTTTGGGTCGCAGTCGCGGCGGCTCGGGCGAGCTCTATTCTCAGTTTTCGGCTTCTCTTTTAGCTTTTTGGCTCCAATATTAGTGTGGGGAGGCTTCAAATCAAATTCCAAAGTGAAATGGGAAAAAAACTCACTTTTTCAGTGTCGGCAACGGCTCCGGTGCAGCGACGATGGCGGTTGGTTTTGTTTTCAACTAGTCTTCTTCTTCTTCTCTGACAGGCTCAGGTGCAGCTAGGGTTAGGGTTTCGGGGATGCGATGCTTATATACCTTCTCTGCGTCGATCTGGGCCGTCTATGAAAGGACACATGACCCATTCTCTGTTGTTAAATCGCTTTTATTTGGGGAATTAGTCTGGGTCGCACGATCAGATTAAGTCCAATCGCGCCTGAAGAGAAAACAGATCTGGGCTGTCCATGCACGCAAGAGGAGATATGGGCCGTTAGATTCACTGGCATGCGGATCGTTAACGTGGCTTCCTGCTGTACGTGTGACCACATGTTTACCATGCAGCGCACGATGACAGGCTGCGCTGCAACGTGGCAGTCCACGTGACCAAATTTTGTTATTTTTACTTTTACCCCAATTTTTTAGATTTCTTTTCAAATAGGTCATCCCTTATTTCTTTTTTGATTCTGATTTTTGAAAATATTTTCAAACACATCCAAAACACAATTTTTTTAAAAAATTAAATTAAAAATTAAAATCAAAATTTTCTAATTTATATTATTATTATGATTTAATTATCTCGGGCCTAAATTCTGAGCCTGAGTGTTACAACTCTCTCCCCCTTAAGAAAATTTGATCACTCAAAATTGTCGCTCTCTCACTAGTCAAACAATTGAGGGTATTAAGTTCTGAAATCTGATTCTAGCGACCAAGTGGCCTCGCTCTTCGAGTGATTCTGTCACTGTACCTTGAGGAATAGAATTTCTTTGTTGCAAAGCACTTTGTTCTTCCGGTCCAAAATACCAACCGATACTTCCTCGTATGATAGATCCTCTTGGAGTGAAAGTGGCTCATAAAATAAGACATGTGAGGCGTCTGGGTTGTACTTGCGTAGTATAGACACATGGAATGCATTATGAACTCTGGATAGTTCTGGAGGTAATACTACTCTATAGGCGGATGTTTCAACCCTGTCCAAGATCTTAAACAGTCCAATGAATCGGGAGTATAACTTTTTTCTCTTTCTAAACCTATTGATACCATTGAAGAGAGTGACCTTAAGGAACACTCGATCGCCCTTCTTAAATTTTAAATCTCTCATTCGAGTGTCCGTGTAACTTTTGCGTTTACTCTAGGCTGTTTGGATGTTCTTTTTGATCTTAAATATCTTCACTGTGGTCTCATCTATAAGATCTGAGAGAATTAGTTTCTTATTACCCACCTCTTCTTAACAGATTGATGATCTACAGGGTCGGTCATATAATACCTCATACGAAACTATATCAATACTTGTTTGATAACTGTTATTGTAGTTGAACTCTATCAGAGGTAGGTGATCATCCCAATTCCCTGCGAAGTTTAGAACACAAGCCCTGAGCAAGTGTACGAATGGTTTATTCTGATTGTCTATCTGTTTGAGGGTAGAATATTGTGCTAAAGGACAATTTCGTTCCCATTGTTTGCTGAAAACTTGTCCAAAACTGAGATGTGAACCTAATATCATTGTCTGCTACCACTGTTACTAGAACTCCATGTAACCTGACTATCTCTCGGATATAGATTTTAGTTACGTTGTCCAAGGGGTTGATCATTTTAATGGCCAAAAAATAAGAGGACTTGGTAAATTGGTCAACAATTACCCAGATTGTATCATGCTCTGAGCGTGTTCTAAGCAAACCTGTTACAAAATCTATAGTGATATGTTCCCATTTTCATTCCGAGATCGGTAATGACTGAAGTAGTCT